AGAAAGAGACATAAGCAGGTTGTTACCACAGGGAACCTTGCTGTGACCAACAGCCCTGCACAGCTCCTTCTAAGGTTAAGAGCAGAAAGCCGCACAAGGGGAATTGGCATGGCTTTGAGCCAACTTCAGATCTTGTTTCAACAAAATTAGCGTGGATTGTTGAGGAGCAAAGAAAATTACATATATCAAAGACTGACAGAGAGACAGAAGGCAAGGAGCCTCACAGAGGATTGAAATTCACTGTGCAGCTAATAAGAAGGACCAAGATTCAAAATGAGACATTTGGGAAAAGCCTGACCTCATCCACACTGGGTGAAGAAGAGAGAAAAAATGGGCTATGTACTTTTCTCTTATCCTTATGCATCTGTATGTTTCCTCATACACAGCGTGCAACTGTGGGATAAACATTCTCCTTTTATATCCTGCTCTTACTTGGGTGTTCAATTGCTCCTATCTATAAATAGCCATAGATTTTTAGTTTAGCTGTGGTTTCTTTTTTACTAAGTTCTGAATTCAACTGTGCTAATCCACCAGCCCCGTGCCCTTTGCAAGGCTGTAGTGGGCACAGGGTTAGAAGCTCAGGCAGGACCTCAGAGTGGGGAAGCAGAGTGAAATCGATTCATCAGTTCTGCTGCGCCAGCCCCATAGATGTATAAAGGCACACTGACCTCAATTACCACCAAGCACTTGCTTGCAGGCCAAGAACCTCACCATGCAGCCCGGTCATGCGTAGAGAAAGCTTAGCAAATAATATGCTTTCTGATTTCCTTCTAAACAGCCTTTAAATATATCTTATTTGTTAAGTAGAGTTTTCAACAGCTTTTATGAAAGTTGATTTTAAAAATGTTTCTTCAAACTTTCTACAGAAGTTACCATTGTACTGTATGAATCTACACTAGAATGCTCAATATCCAAATCTCACATTATTTATCATTACGACTGCATCTCCAGAGATGGACATTTTTCAAACCTGCCAGTTTCCACTTTACCCTGTCAACATAACACTGTATTTTTCTGCAGGATATGTAAAAACTGTTTTTGAAAGACATGATCTTTCTTGCTCTTCTCCCCCTATTTAGCAGCATACGTGGCCTGCTCTCTTCTGTACAGCTACAATTTAATATAAGAATAACATTTCAGCCTGAACATCTCAGTTCTTTGAGATTCTGAATGACACAACTTTAAATATAGTCAGTATCACAAAAAACAACAAGATTGGTACTTCATGAGCAGTATGTTTTTCTTTCCATGAGATAACAGATATGCATCAGTGACACTGCATGACCCTATGAGGTGAAGTATCTTTAGTCATTACTTAGGGCAACTTAACAGGCTCAACTATGTTCTCCAACCAGGGACTTACCTCACCTAGAAATAGCACTCAGAGGCCTTATCTCCACCAGGCCTGCCACACAGACAGGGAATTCTGATAGGTAAGAAGTGGCAAGCCCCTTTGGCAGGGCAAGCCAATACAGAATATATGGAAAGCAGTGAGAAGCTGAAGACAGACCTGAAGTAACCATGACATGGTTAGTTTGCTACTGTTTTAAAGCTAACATTTGGCAGTCTGCTCTCTGCAATAGCAGCTCTCACAGAAAACCTCACCGTCAGATTTTTTCCAAAGTATATATTTTTTATAACATTCTTATGTTTGCAGACATGCTATGCATGTGTAATAAAAATGAGACTATACTATCCACTAGAGATACTTTTAAGACTGAAAGGTCTAATTAAGAGATCTGCTCTGTAAGCTGCACAAATTTTTACAAGATGCTGTGTGAATGCTTTGAGAGTTACACTTCCCTCAATTCTTTGGGCTTTCATTCAGGAGTCGTTTCCCACTGGGTGGAGATGGTTTGCTGGCATTAAAGCACTCGGGATCATTCACACTCAGGCTAGGTTTGAGTAAAATTTTCAAGCCTCAGAGTAACATTATTTACAGGAGATATTTAGAAGAAATGGGGTACAAGTATAAAACAGCTCTTCACCAATTTAAAGTGCTTTACAGAGATTTTTCAAGTAAACCTCAGAACAACCCAGGAAGGGATTAATTACCACTCTCCCCCTTTATTTCACACACACAAGAGCTGAAGTACCACATCCATAAGTACAGTGCCCAAGGTTACAAAGTTAATCAGAAGCACATCTAGAACTATTACACAGTGCAGCAACTAAGACTTATGCTCAGGACAGTGCATTTATGCTGCCATGCATGCTGAACAAAAGCAAGCGATCTTTATCTCTAATTCAATCACGCCTCTTGAACAGTAATTCATTCTGTGACGGTTTTTCAAAAGGCTTGATTTGTGTTGATGTAAGGAGGTGGTAAAGTTCCCTGTACACAGCGTAAGCAGAAACACACAAGTTTCCTTATGCTAACTCATTAGGATGACACAAGGCCTTCCTAGATGGCTAGGAAGAGTCTTCCAGGTCCACCAAGCCCTGGGTCTTAGCTGACCTTATCAAGAGAGTGTCCTTTCATGGCAGGATGCGTGTGCTTAGGTCTGGGGCAGCTCCCAGTAGATAGGTATCCACAAGCTGAAGTGAACAGACTGGAGTCAGACTAGCACTTAAAACAGAAAGGTACTAATTCAAAAATAATTTTTTTTTTTTTTAAAAGATATACACCTTTTTGAAAATTCCAGGGCAGCTGCTCTCAGGCTACATATTTGTAGCTGCAAGGGTGCCAGCCACCTGAGGGATTTGCAGAGAGACCATCTGCTCCCAAAGTGAGAGGGCAGGTGGGTTTTCTTGGGGGGTGGGAACCCAACCACCACCTAGGCGCTCTGGGAGCGTCTCTGCGCTACAGAGCCACAAGACTCCTCTGCTCTCACAGGAGAGAGAGTGAGAAACAGATGGCAGCATTCTGGGAGGTGGCGGGCAAAGAGATTAGGGGACACCACCACAACAACAGAGGATCAAGGTATAGAGATAATACAGAAGAGGGGGTGGTAAAAGAAGGGGGTAGGAAAAGAAAAGATATGAAAGAAATGAGGAAAGATGGAGAGAGAGCCCAAGCCCCTGAAATTTGGGGGTTGTGCAGCTTCTTTATGCATGTTTCTACTTGATTTTCCTCCAACAGATCAGAGGCAGCGTCACCGTTTGCATGCAGCAGCCAGTGGACCTGTGGAGCAGGTGAGAAGCGGTGAAGCACACAAGTACTGTTTTCCCTAACTGTAGCAACATCCTGAAAAAAGCTTGAATGCTAAGTTTACACTATTGAGGCAGTGCTTTGTTATTAACTTTATATTTTGACGAACCTTTGTGCCTCTGGAGGCTTATGAAACAAAATAAGGAAGGAAACCAGGCATGAAAAAATACCCCAATGGGAGTCTACACCTTTTATGATTTTAATGAAAAATGGTTTCTATAGGCTTTTATTAGCAGGGATTTGGGGCTCTCTCATACACAAACTTAACTTGTAATTTGAGAAAAAAAAGTTCAAGTGCTGGAAAAAAACAACAACAAAACTATGACTGTTTCAAAAGATTAACTGCCACCACTTTCCAAGTACATTCACTAGCTCAAACTAGCCTGCCTGGAAACTGAGAATTTAAGCAGTGTCTCTAAATAGAGGTTCAGGACTCTTGCTGTTTATTGATATTCCTTGCGTAAGCACATGAGTGAATCTGACCATTTATAAGGCATGCTGAAAACAGCGGAAGTTATAAAAGACGATTTCAAAAAAATGTACAGATGATCAATATGCTGATGATTCTCACAGCGAGCACAGCAGGATTTGTTCTGCAGTCATGGACTGCAAAGATTGTTCAGTAAGGACTGCCATGGAGGAAGACAGAGAGGGATTTTAATGGTAGTAGATGTCTACTGCACAGCGCAGTTAAGAGAATAAATCCTGTACAATCAGCAGCATTGCTCTGAAAGTCATTCTTGTAAAAATTTCTTAAATCCTTTAATTAAAACTTTCAGGTTTCTTTTTAGCTCCCTAAATTCAAGATAATAGTCAAAGACTTCATCTTCTCACAAATTTTTCTTACAACTTTTATGCTCATGGCCAAATGAACTGTAGGTAAAATTGTCACAGTCTAAAACAAAATGATTTAGAGGACACAAAAGCAAGTAGAAGCACCTACATCCAGCTGACATGTGCCATCTCCTGTGCAAGGGCCTAACTGCTGTTGCATTTTTAATAGTGGCAGCTCTGTTTCTGCAACAGTTTCATGTTCAAAGTACAACTACAGAAGCCCTCAGTAGTCCCAAACATCAAGCAACAAATGGGAGCCAAATAACAAGAACAGCATTCTCTGCTTTAGAGCTGTTCAATTCATAACTTAATACACATAACACCACTTTTGGCTGTGTTTTAGAAGGACAAAGTAAAATTCACAGACTGAACTGGCCAACAGACAGCTCTGAAGCATCATGTGAAGTAATTACTAGGAATAAGGCAACTGGATGCCCTGTGTAATAATTTCATTGAGTGATCTAATAACTCTCTCATTTGTGGAATTAACAGAGAGCTTAGGCGCCTTCCCAGTTCAAACAGTACAAAGCAACACTATTTGTTCCAGGAATATGACCACGGATGATTTTTTTCCTTCCTCTGGTCAAGAGGGGTCTTTCTTTCAGATAAATTACCTGTAAGATAGGGAAGGCAAAAGCTGGAATTTCACTGTCTCACATCCTTTCCAGCCACTCAGACCATCTGCACTTCATCCTCTCCAGCACATAGTGCTGCCCACGTTACTTTGCCCAAAACTGTCTCTGCAGCTGCCTCCTCCAAGACTTTCCTCCTTCCCTCTCAATCTCTGTCCTGTACTAGACCACTGACAGAGAAAAAGAGGCTTCTCTTCTATCATTCTTGCCACTTTTAAACACTTCCCTGAAATACTTAACATCGCCTCATCTCTTCTCCCCATACTGTATTATTCCCAGCCCTCTCACTTTCCGTGAGCTTTCCCTGGGGCTTCTCTGTATCCATGCAAAGAGCACCACTTTCCATGACGATGACTGCTTTGTCCTCATAGAGCTCCATTCAGTCTGCAGTCCTCCTTTAGCTCTCTCACTAACAGAGAGAATCCCTCATTTCACTTTTTTTTTCCTGAGTGCTGCTGCCTTCCTCCCACTCCCCTCTAAGGGGCTCAGCAAAGATGACATCAATCTGACAATTATCTGATCATCACTCACCTGCCACACAGCTGCTCCCTTCATTTGGCTTTTTTTGAGAATTCCTTTCTATCCATGCGACTAACTTCTCCTCAGCCCTTGCCACCCTGTGCTCTCTTTCCAGGCTGTCTGTCAGCCATCAGCCAGGTTCTTCTTCCTGAAACTTCTGCTAGTTCTCTCTTTCTCTAACAACTTCTTCAGCACTTCATAGCAGTGATCATTTACTTAAGGTAAAATTAAGAATAGCTTCTCCTGAAGTCCTGTGCTCAGACACTCTCCTCCTCGAGTATGCTTTTTGGAGCAAATACAGTCTTAATTCTGTCTTTGTCTAAGCCGTGACTGATTCTCAAAAGCATTGTATAACATAGCTAAACAAGAACTTTGCATTTTTCTTATACACGCATATCCCATTATTTTCAGCCATCCAGCTATTCCATTTTTGTATTATTGAACCTCTTTTCCCACACGTCCTGATGAATAATGTTAGTAATAAGGCAACAACTGATAAAATAAAAACAATGAAAACATCACATTTGAAAAGATGTCAGTAAAATGACAAAAAGTCTGGTTTTAATCAGATGAGCTAGAAGATAAGAACACGGGTGACAATATCCTTCCTACAAGAAACATGTCAGGTGCTTTCTTGAAGGAAAGAATGAGACTAATTTAAGGTGCTGTCAAAAAGCAACAAGGCGTAAGATTCTCAGAGCAATGGTTAGTGTTTTAGTGGGAAATTAGACATAAACACAAGACAGTTTTTAAGTGTGCAGGCTCCTCAGGAATCAATGCTGTGGTTACTGCATTAGGAGCCTTCTGCCAGCTATCATTCAGGAATGGCTCAACCAAAAGCTAGCCAGCCTTTTTCACTGACATCAGCCAGCAGAGAAATCGCCTTCTTGCCCCATTACTATTCACTAGCAATCCTGATGCCAGCAGCCCAGGCTCTGCCCATTGCCCATTCCTCTCTCTGCCCACATGACTAAGAGGAAGAGCTCTTTTATTTCTTTTTCTCCCTTAGAAATTCCAGGAACCTGTACTGGAAGATTCAGGCTAGCAGTATGGACTTTACTCTGCTTGTTGAATAAGTGAACACGTTGCCCTCAGCTTGATTTTACTGCAAAGTTATCAAGTCTATGAGTCTCAGTGATCCAACATCTGTAGATCAATATCTTTTTCCGATATAAACCCTTTGCGCACATACATACACGACTGCTGCTAAGAACAACAAAAGGAAATCCTCTGCCAAGATCTCTGCCTTCTGTTAATTCTGGAGATGTTGGTTACCATGTCATTCTCCATCACTGCTGTTGGGGTTCACCCAGTTTTCTTTCACTGGTAAAAACAAATTCACTGTCCTCGGCATTGGCATGGAGATTTGGCAGAGATGGAACGGACAAAAAAAAACCTCAACAACAAAACCCTTCATTTTAGAAATGTGGTTCCAAGGAGAAGTCAGCTTCATTTTCTGGCATTCATTTTGTCCCACCAAAGATACGGAAAACTGGACATAAGCTCATTGGTTGCCAAGTAGTTTTTGACAGGATACCCCTTGTGACACATCTGTTCTTGCCCAGACAAACTGACCAGACAGCTGGTTTTCTCCCTATCCGTTCTCTTCCTTTTTTATTTTTTTTTTCCTAAGATGTCACATATATATTTTTCTCTCCAGTCTCACATTTTTTTTCTTCCTATGGTTCATTTGCAATAGTTTCCTCACACTGCAGGACAACATCCTTTGCAGCAAGCAACTCTGTAAATAGCCTTTGCTGTTGTGTATGTATTGTCACAGCTAAACTAATTATACAGGAACACAGAACACAAAAGCTGGGAGGACAAACTATTCTCCTACGGCAGACTGTATCCTGGATCACCTTGCAGCAGGGAGAAGAAAATTTTCATGCCAGCAGTTACTGCTCTGGGCCACCCTTCCATGACAAAGATTGAGTTATGTGCAAAGAGAGAAACCGAGGCACAAACAATCCCCAGCTGTGCTGCTGACTTTCTCTGTAGCAATTAGCAAACTACTTAAACAGAATCTCTCCGAGCTAATTCACTATTGCATGTGCCTGCACTTATACACATAACATGCACCCACACATTTATATATCAGATATGTACATACGTATGCAAATATAAGCAGCATACGTTACTTGTATTTAATGACTGTGAGACTCAGCAATACTCTAAAATATTTATAGTTCGATCAAGTATTTACAGCTTCGTTAAAAGCACATCTGCTACTTAAGAAAATAAAATAAATACAAATTTTGCTTAACATTTAAGAGTAGGGGGAAGAATCCAACAAACTACTCACCAGAGAGAGGATCTTTGCCAATCATTAAAACATTTGGTAAATTCATTACAATCAGCTGCTGGAGGACCTCCTAAACAAAAGAGAACATCAGGCAAAGTTCAGTGTGAAGGAATCCCAATCAATCAGATCACAAAGAATGCAGAGCTCCATGGATTACCGAGCCTTTAACATACTGGCAGTTCAGAGGTCACAAAAGGAAACCCCACTTCAGAGGGAAATCGCTATTTGAAGATGGCATCAGGTTGCAGAGCTAACATACGCTGATCACCTCCTTTAACAGTAGTGGTATAGGACTCGCAGGGTCCCATGGTACTAACCAAAATAAACGCACAGCCATGCCAGGCTATACCCAGTCATGCCTTTTCCCCAGACATGACCTACATTCATTTGATGTTCAGCATACAGCTGTTGCCATGTCTCAGGGCTTACAAATGCAGCGAGTTCAAAGGTACCTAAGCCAGTCTGTGAAGTTTAATTCAAATAATTGGTCCAATTATTTCATGGGTCTGAGATTTTAACGATGGGCAGGGTGAGGCGGTGTGGGGAGGGCACTGCTGAACAGACATCTACACTGCTCTGAGAAACCGGGTTAAAAGTTCCAGATTTGCTTTTGGTTTTAATGAGGAGGAAAGCAGATATGTTTAATAAGCATGCCATGAACCTCATTCAAATGTTGTTTTATGTGGTGGGAGACAAAGGAAGGGAAGTACATTGTTTGGTCAGGTTTAACACTTAAATGCCAGCTGCCGCCTGAAGTTACTTTGAAATGTCAGAATGAGCTTATGCGACAGGCAAGGCTACAAGCCCTGGGGCAGGCAAATGCTCAAAGGTGGACAAATAAATACACTGCAAAGGAGCCTCGGTACAGTAATGTGTTCAGCCACATATCCAAGTCATTTTCTGTAACATTCAGAGCACAGGAGTATGGTTATGAGTTACTAGCACTCAGTTGTGATTATCTGAATAAAATATTCAGATAATATTTTAAGGTAATAAAATATAACCTTATTATCTGATTATCTGAATAAAATATTCAGATAATATTTTAAGGAATAAAATATTCAGATAATATTTTAAAAATAAAGGTAAGCGTTTTATTTTACAAACAAAGGCTTGGGAGGAAAATGGTTGTGCCATTAAAGCTGTGTGCAAGTTCCACATACAAATATTAAGTGTTTGACAGGTGCGTTTTCCCTGCTTGTCTCCATTTCCCAGACTACCTCTAGGCCACCAGGAGGGCACATGCATTAATACTCAGAGTATTCAGAGCCAGAGGAAAAAATATTGTAACCAAGCACTGAATACTGGAACACATTTCCTGAAAAAATTACCTATTCACTGAAACAATTCCTCTACAAGTTACCAGATTGTTATTTCTCTACTTTCAAAGTCACGACAGAAGAAAAATTAAACCTGAGGAAAGAGGAAATATTTCAGTGAGCCTGCAGCACTTGATAAATAGTCAGAGTGGACATTTAAAAAAAACTACTATGGATGTAACATATTTCATTTTTTTCTTCCAATCCATATTTGGAACACACTAATCAGCAGCATTTTTCTGGATAAAGTAGAAATATCTCAGTGTCACAGCTGATAGGTTTTTTTTTGGTGCCACTAACAAGGCTCTACAAATCTCTGTGCAACCGGAAGTTTGGCTAATGTGGACCAACCATTTGCTGAGTCATCAGCCAAATGCATTTTCTAGTTTGTGCATCCAAGCCACATTTAAAAAGTTTGTTTGCACCTGCTCCCAAACAGGTGCAACACAGATTGGATTTCATAGCACATGGCTAGACTGCAACATCCACTATCAGTCACAATACATAGTGGCATTGTGGCTATAAACCAAAATGTTCAGAATCTCAATACACCAACCACAGAGCTTTGACTAGTGATGTCCATAGCAAAAAAAAAAAAAAAAAGAATTATGTTTTTAGTCACCTTGTGCTCAGAGTGGCACTGAGGCAGGAACGCATAAAGAATTCCTGTTGTCTTTGTGCAGTCATCAGATCTCTAACTATTTAACTGGCGGACACAAAAGACATTACAGCTAACTTACGTTGTTAACGTTCCCATGCACTCCCTCTGTAAAGCTGAGTATAGCAACCAACACGTCCAAGACTGAACACCGTTGCAGCTGTTGGAATTTATTCTTAGTATTGTCTGGCAAGAATCTGATAGTCATTGAATACAAGCAGAAACAGACCCGAATCTATGAAGAATGATCTCTAACTCAGATGAAAAGACTCAATCTATTGCAAAAGGTAATACTCTGATCTGTTAAGTAAGTTACTTGAACAGATAAGTATCTTTATTGTGTTAAATGCCTTAACCTCAGATTGTTATTGTGATAACAATATCTAGCCATTACGTAGTGTGTTCATCAGCAGATCTCAAAGTGCTTTATAAAATGGCAATAGCATTTTTCAAGATTAAGAAAGCGTGTCACAGAAAAGAAGTTACTTCAGCTTAATAAACTAACCTTTGTCAACAGAGACATACCAATGAACCATTCACTCAGCTACAAACGTGAGGTGAAATATGTTAGCTGAAAGGTCTTCATTAGCTCAAACATCAATGTAATTCTACTTCAGCTTTTGTACAGGCTAACAACACAGTCAAGTTAATAAGGCTCAGCTGACATGAGGTGACTCAGTAGCTAGGATAATGTGATTGTGTCTCAGAGCCACTGCTTAAGCTCCCACATCTGGGCATATAACCAAAGTCCCTTCCCCCTACCAGCAAATAAGGAATTCCTCAACCTCTATCCACTTGTCAATATTTTCTTGTTTTCCTCCGCTGAAACTACAATAATTCATCCAGTCAGGTAGGTGGGTTACTCGCCAGTACCGACCCTGCAGCATACAGAGCTCGGCAGTAGTGTTATGTTAAACATACAGAATAATTCTATTGGACATAAGTCTTGAGAAAAGTAAAGACATACAAAAGCCTAGGATTTGGAACAGTTCTGACTTGACTTCAGACCTGAAAAAGCTCTCCAAAGAGTAGTATAGGATGTCAGGTTAACTGCAACTCTGTAACTTGCATATTTGCAACTATGATGCTGTGCTTCAGTCAGGCCTCTCCGCCCCCCTCACAGTCACCACTCCATGCTGATAATCCTGCAGAGTCTGAGTGGGCATCAGCCATGCAGCTGTGCTCTTTAGAGGCTGGAATCTTCACCAAGGGTTAAACAGTTCCATGGACCAAACTGGCTTCCAAGTTACAGCTATGCTAGGCATTAGTTCAATCTGGACCTGTAATTGGGGCCCAGTCAGTGGTAAGAAATGGTAAATAAAATGTAGCATTTTTCCCACAATAGAAGCAAGCTCTTGTATTATATGCTCTTATGCTTGGAATCAAACATAGCTTTGAAACATAACAGTGAACAAGAAACTCTGTGCTTTTGTTTTCCTCCCATACAAGGGCAGCATGGCTAGGGGCAGCACAGGCAGGCAGAGCAAAGCAAGGTTTGCAAACACTTTCATTTGCCCACAAAAATCCACAGTACTCCAGAGAGCTGCTATACAAGCAAAAGTTCTGACTTCTCCTGAGAGACCTTTAGATCATTTTTACAGCACAACTAAACCTTGACTAAAACAGTAAAGGTTACAGCAACAACATATGGTAACAATTTCCCTAATTATCAAAACAATTAGGGTTTGAGCAGTCAGCTTTACACCTAGGCCAATAACCAACTAAGCAGCCAGAAAGCCAGGAATCATCTCACACAGACTACTGCTTACCATGTTTTACTGCTGCTAATGAGATTTACATGAGAAAATAATTTTGATACCAGAAGTCTTCTTTAAGGCATCCAGTTCAAAATAGCTCACTTTCAGGCTTTAGTGCAGATTGTATAGGTACCTGAAATTCTCCTCTTTCCAAGATCAGAATATTTTAAGGTTGTACGCACTGTCAAAAATCTCAGCTCTTCTGTTAGCAGTGAAGGGTGTGAGAACGGATGCTTCTAGGCAGCAGATTGTCTCTAAACACGAACATCAGTGGCCAAATCTTACACAACTCAACCCTGACCCAAACTCTGTAAAAAAAGGCCACAAAGGTTTCCGCATGCAGAGGTACGTGCCCTATTTCCAGAAGGAGAACTTTCTAAGCAAAGGCCAAATCTAGTGTTCAGTCCTTGCTTTCTCTCTATTGCCCACAGAGGCACAGGGTACGGAGCATCCCAAGAGAACTGGCAGACTGGAGTAATAAGAGGGAAACTGCCTAAGCCAGAGGTAAAGTTTGCTGAAAGCAGCCAGGCATTCCAGGACTGGCAGCTCAAGGATTCAGAAATATAATCAAGTTACCTAGAAATCATGAGGTTAGACATAAACAAGTGCTGTGTTCTTATTAGCAGCCTTCTGGCGTCTAAGCCCTTGGTGATGAGCACTTGCTTCACGTTTGCAAGCTTTCCGCAATTACTTTGCTAAGAAAGGAGCTTAAAATTCTCCCACGTTGATTCTAGCAGCCAAGCGTTTTAGGAAAAAAAAATCAAGACACATATGAGATTCAGGATACAATTCTGAGCGTTGAGCTAAGTGCTTAGGCTTATTAAAAGCCAAAATAAACATGTTGCAGCTACCTCACTCCCTCAGTCTAAGAATTTCTAGGAGCAGAACATATTTTACATACTCTTTTCTATTATCCTTCCAAGATCTCACACACAAGATATTCAGTGTCTGCCTTGGATAATCCTAAGAGATGCAATGGCACTTCTCAATCTTAAGTCACCACTGTCACATACTAATATTTTATATTCTAACAGGGTAAATGGGCACCTTGCAAGTTTGTAGGAAAGTCTCCTGGGACCATACTACCCTTTATTATATAATAGCTTCTTAAGAATACCTGTGCAACAGCACTGAAGAAATTGGTCTCAGGGAAATCAGTCTTGGCTGCATTTTTAACAGTAAGCATGTCAATGGCTCCAGCAAAGAATGCATTGCTAGGAAAGCAGCAGATAAGATTGCTCTTTCCACAGCTAAGAGACTGAGTAAATATATGCTTTTACACCAAAACCTTCCTATGCATCACAGCACAAGACAGTGTTAACAAAGTACCTACTAG